TTCCTCCCTCCTCCCCCATCTATACTTCCATCCATCTATCCCATGTCCTCCATTCTACTCACTCATCCTTGCAAGGGACTTGCAGCATGCAGAACTCGTTCTCATCGTGTGGCTCGTGCCTCGTCCACTGCTCACACCGTCAGAGCTCCACCGTCAGCCCCACTTCACCCACGTCTGCGTGCTTGTCCTTCCTGTGCCTGGCCAGTGCCGAATGGCTCCGATAGTCTCTCGTGCATCCATTCACGTTGCAACGGAAATGTGATACCTGCACTGCTCTTCACCTCCACCACCACCTCCTCCTCCCCCTCCTTCTCAACCCTCAGCGAGCGCCTCACCCGCGTTGAGACAAGCGCCTGCGGTGTGAGTTTGAGGTCGGACGGGGTCAGGTAGTCGTAGAGTTGTCTGCTGTCGCTGTCGTCTGCATCATCATCCCCTGCAGTCGCTCGCTCGACCTGCGTCCTCTTGAGAATTGAACATCACTCATCCACACAAGAACCTTCTTCGAAGGCACCGTTGCAGTAAATCTCGCACACAGCTCCCCGTTGTCATGGTTGTCAAACTCCCTCCGCCGCTTCGCATCAACCCGTTGGTCTACATGCTCGTCAGGGCTGTGCTTGCTGTCATTCGGCGACCCCGGGGATGCGACTTCGTTGGTCTTCCCGCCAAGCTCGCAAGCATCTGGATCGCATCTTTCTCCTTGCTGAGCTCTTCGGCGTCGTCTGTCATGGAAAGAATCTTTGCTGATAACACCGTCGGCTTTCTGCGTCCTTTGCCAAGTCATTCAACGTCTTTCCTCAACTCTGCAGAACCTCCTCCTATACCTCCCATTCTCCTCCTACACCTCCTCCTATGCCTCCATTCCATTCCAGGACACGAGAAGTAGTATTAACAAACTAGTTTGCTTCCAATGTGACTCTTTTCGCTATGCTCTCCCCACTTTCTCCGCCTCAAAACTGAAAAATCCGCGCCGCTCCGCAGCAAGTTAACTTTGTTATGGATAAATGATCCTTGCGATGCTATATCTGCGTTGCTCAACGAGTTTCTTCTCTGATCGCTACTTCTCCTGATATCGTCTTCTTTGCCCTCATCTCCGTTCCGTCCATTTATCCCTCCACCTCCTCCACCTCCACCTCCTCCTCCTCTCCCCCATCCATTGCGGACGATAGTCTGAAAACACTCGTACCCCTTCTCTTCACCCCTACCCCCCCAGATCAGCACAAGTACCACCCTCTTTTCAACAAAACCACCCCCATTCAATATCTATGTTCCCTCTAATCCCACCCCCTTGTTCCCCATTAATTCCACCCCTATCAGACAGACATACGACCCACCTCCCTGTACCAACACGTTCACGCTGACATCACCCCACTTTGCTCTCTAGAATTGGGGGGTGGTCAGGGCAGCAATTCAGTACGTGCGACGATATTAGATACGATGGGGTGGGTAGTCTGTGTAGAAAAGGGGGTAGGGGGTTGCCCTTGCACATAAGAGGGGCGGTAGCAGCAAGTGGAGCAGGACAGGAGGAGGAGGAGGAGGAGGACGAGGAGGAGGAGGAGGAGGAGGTGCAGCAGCAGCAGGTGGAGCAGCAGCAGCAGCAGCAGGTGGAGCAGCAGCAGGTGTAGCAAGAGCAGATGCAGGCGGGAGCAGGCGGATCGATGGCAGGGGAAGGGGGATGGGCAAGGAGTAGGATGAAGAGCAGGAGCAGCAAGGCAAAATTGACAAGAATCACACCCCCTGCCGATTATGGTGATGATGAGAAGTCGTAGTAATGCAAAGATGAAATGATTGAGTTTCTGCGAACAATTTTAGAAACATTGATGTGTGACGCTTGGATATTCTTTGGTCTCGTAGCTGCGAAGGATTTCACTTGTCCTGGGTCGCCGAGCTCCCGGCAGCTAACATTAATGTTGTCAACTTTGATGGTTGAGATTCCTTCTCTTGTTTTGCCTGATGGGGAATGTATCTTGACAACAGTGTTCCACGTGTAACTTACGATGTCTTTATAATTTAACAGACATATTTCTAAAGCAAGAAAATTTTCACAAGTGGATCATTTTAGTCTCCTTCAGATTCAGTCATCACAAATGATACATGTGGTATGCCCGATCCAACTCTCCTCCTCTCCCCTCTCGCCTTAACTCCCTCCCTCATTCCTCCCCGGTATCCTCATTCATGATCCTCCCCTAGCAGCCCCACCAGCGTCACGTCTGCCTCCTCCTGCCTCCGCATCAAGTACGAGTAGCGGTAGGGCTCCTGCATCCCCACCAGCACGTCAGACCCCCCCACCTGACTCCCCGACCTGCAACGCACCTCGACGGCGGTCTTGAACACCTGCTCTCCCCGTCAGCTCAGCCCCTCCTAGCCCTCCTCCTCCCTCCTCCTCCCCAACGTCGTCAAGACTCCGATCCTTACCCTCTGCCGCCCCCCCCCCTCACGTCCTCCCTCCTACCTGTCCTTGATGTCGGATCGCGTCCGACGTGACGGTCCACGTCCTCGTGTGGAAGCAGATGCTGCGCAGCCGACCAGAATGAGGAAGGGCCCGAGGATGCAACAGCCGGACAAACTCACTTGTCCTCTACTCCACAGAAGAAGGCGGTGAACTTGAACTCCTCCTCCTGTCCCGTCCAGTGCCCCACGAGCCGTAGGACTTGGAACTCGTCTGAACGCGGAGCACACCCTCAGCATCACATGGTCCCACTGCCAGCGCCCTCCTCACCTCCCATCCTCGCCACAGGCGATCCGTCCATCGGCTGCTTTAGCAGGCAGCTCCAGGATGTTTTGAATCCCCCGAGCACCTGTGACAATTCAACAAGTCCGTCCAAGAATCCTTCTTCCCAATCTCTCATTTTCTCCTGCTCCTCGTAACATTTCTGCCTTTGTATTCTGCCTGCCTACCATCGATCGAACTCCTATCCCTTGAGCGTACTCAGGGCCTCGCCCAATCGCTTTCATGTTGTTCCTCAACTCTCTACGTGAACCTGCTACTGATCTCTCCTTCATCTTTGGCCTCCCTACCCGACATTTGTATGTACGTGCAACTTTCACCTCTGCCCTCCTCCCTTTTCAGCTCGTTCTCACCTGAGGAAGAAGAATCCGGACAAAAGCATGTATGCAGAGTATCCCGCTGCTGTTCGGGTCAAACGTCACGTGAATCTGATGCCTTCTTGCAAGGAACGAGAAGACAGCGTCCTGCGCTGACGCTACACCAACCACGACGTCACTCCTCCCTCTAGCCGACAAGAGACAAGTCCACCTAGACGTGCCATGGCTCCTTGCCTGATCCACTCGATGATCGAGACGGAGGCATCCGATTCTCGGAACGCCGGCATGTGCAACGACAGAAAGTTTCTATTGCTGCAAGTATTTTGTCAGCTTTGGCCAGCTCACTCCTGATGTTAAGCTCATCGCAAACTTCAAGACAAAATCACCAGCACCCAGTGCAAACAATTTTCACAATTATGCTAATTGACCGAAGGTTTCCCAATCTTGCAAGCTCACCATGGTAATCCGTGATTTTGCATCGCCCCGTCTACCTTCCACGGCGCCGAGTTCGACCCCTCCGCACTGTACATGTACACCCCGAACAGATGCCGCAAGTTCACCCTCCCCCACTCCGGGCCCCTCACCCTCTCCATATCCCCTGACACCATGAACATCCTCTCCCTCCCCTCCCTCGTCCACATCGCTTCCATCCGCACCTTCACCATCACCACCGTGTACTTCCGAAACACCCTCAGCATCACCTCGACCCCCCCACCTCCTCCCGCCTTCCTCCCCTCTACCCCCTGCGCCCGCCTCCCGTACTCCCGCAGCCTGTCCGCGTCGTCCGTGTCCACAAAGTGCATCAAGCTCTGCCCCACCTGCTCGCACAGCCCCGTCACCCTCTCCTCTCCCACCCGGGCAAACACATCGAGCCCCTCCCTCCTCCTCACCATGGTCGTCCCGAACACTGACTCCCGGTACTCGCCCTCGAAGCCTGCGCTCATTCTCCGGATCCTCCAGCTCGGAAGCTCCACCACCACCATCCGCTCCCGGTGGCTCGTGAGCATGGCATCGAGCAGAATCTCCCCCGTGCAGCTCGAGGGCTGGTCGCTTCTTGAAGCAGCAGGGGCTAGGGCCTGGCTGGAGGGAGCAGAGTGGGAACGTCGGAGCGCTCTGACATGGTCGACAGCATCGGCGAGGAGCTGTTCTCGGTTCCTCCCCGAAGGCAGATGTCCTTTCAGGATCTGCGATGCCCACTGCTGCCCTACAGGTATGCAAACATCGAGGCGGATCAGAAGGTCGTTGGCAACGGCTCGTTCGCGCAGTTTGCACTCTTTCTGGAGCTGTCGCTTTCTGGCATTCCTCATGTCTTGGTGCTTCTTAAGCTCCAGGGTGTGAAAGTTGTATGGTTCGACCTTCACTGCTTCCTGGTGCATATCGATGTTTGAATCTACCGCATCGTCACAAGGGTCTTAGCCTGGTTTCCTGTTGAGCCATCAAACGTTTGACTTAATACCTTGGGCCCCTTGTCGATTCCACAGACCATACACCACATCTCTGGTTTTTAAAATCAAGGCAAAGATCAGTACTAAACTGTGATAAAGTTTCAAAACGTGAATGTATCAAGAAATGTCTATTTAAGTAGTTTGTCCCTCCTCAACACTTATCAATGCTAATGCGGCACCGAGCCAATCGGACCAACATGTGCAAACTTCCTTCACCTTGTTCAGATCATTTCAAACACCTTTCTACTCACATCATCTCCAGCCTGCCCTCTTCAACCTCTACCCTCCCATGCTTTCATATTTTGCTTGTTTCTTACCCTTTTCTTGCAATGTTCTCTATTCCCTATTCCGTGTCTCTCCGCATCTCTCCCCTATCTTCTGCCCCCATCTCACCATCTTTCCATTCATTCGCCCCCTCCTTTCCTCGCCTTCTCCTCCTCGCATCCTCCCTCCCCATTCCCATCCATCCCCATCCCCATCCCCATCCCCATCCCTCCTGTTCTCTTCCCCTCGCTCATTCGCATCGAAATTTGTTGCTGGCAGCTCTATTTCCTGCTCTGGACTTGGGGTGTCAGGGGTAGAACCACCCTATGAAACGTCAGGGTAGTCACATGTTATTTGAAGGGGTAGTCGTCACAGAAGATCTGGAGATGGGCTCCTGGGGGGTGGGTATACAAGAAATGAAACGACGTGCATGAAAGGGACATGTAATGCCGTTACAAAAACCGTTTTTATCTAGGTCTACATAGAGACCGCAGAAGATGGGAGACCGTTTTGCCGGAGGACGGGACAACTGGGGGACAACAGGACGGGGACAGGATATGTTCTGGGGTGGGGTGGTATATCCAGTAGTACCCACCATACCATTTCAGTGCAGAGGTGGGTTAAAAGTAGGGGTCTCCAAGATACTTGTGACTGTGAAGATAAAAAGCAATCACGGCCATGAGCCGTGTAAATACTTGTTGAGAGCATGGGCGGAGAAGGGGAGGGCGAGAAAGAAGAGCGGAGAGGAGAAGTGCAGAATGCAGGGAGAGATAGAAAGAATAAGGTTAGGCAAAGGAAGGAGAGAGGAAAGTGGAAGATAGACAGAGTAGATAGTAGGGGAGAAAAAAATGAATTGAAAACAAGTCACCGAGCAAGTATGTGAAGATGTCCGTAAAAAAGACAAGAGAGCAAAGCATGAGACAGAGAAAAGGTGGAGCAAGTAGCAAGCCGTCTACCACCGACATGTGAAGCTGACGGGTTGACGCAGGGGAGTTCTAATGTGCCTGCATAGCTGTGAAACAAACCTCAACTATTGCTGACAATGCATACAACTGCATACAACATTGACACCCTGGAGCTTAAGAAGCACAAAGACATGAGGAATGCCAGAAAGCGAGAGCTCCAGAAAGAGTGCAAGGCAAGAGAACGAGCCCTAACAACCGACCTTCTGTCCCAGCTCGACCACAAGGTCCCGACCACCAGAATGTCAACGGACAAGCATAAGGGGCAGCTCCCTTCGGGGAGGAACCGAGAACAGCTCCTTGCCGATGCTGTCGACCATGTCAGAGCGCTCCGACGTTCCCACTCTGCTCCCTCCAACCAGGCCCTAGCCCCTGCTGCTTCAAGGAACGACCAGCCCTCGAGCTGCACGGGGGAGATTCTGCTCGATGCCATGCTCACGAGCCACCGGGAGCGGATGGTGGTGGTGGAGCTTCCGAGCTGGAGGATCCGGAGAATGAGCGCAGGCTTCGAGGGCGAGTACCGGGAGTCAGTGTTCGGGACGACCATGGTGAGGAGGAGGGAGGGGCTCGATGTGTTTGCCCGGGTGGGAGAGGAGAGGGTGACGGGGCTGTGCGAGCAGGTGGGGCAGAGCTTGATGCACTTTGTGGACACGGACGACGCGGACAGGCTGCGGGAGTACGGGAGGCGGGCGCAGGGGGTAGAGGGGAGGAAGGCGGGAGGAGGTGGGGGGGTCGAGGTGATGCTGAGGGTGTTTCGGAAGTACACGGTGGTGATGGTGAGGGTGCGGATGGAAGCGATGTGGACGAGGGAGGGGAGGGAGGGGATGTTCATGGTGTCAGGGGATATGGAGAGGGTGAGGGGCCCGGAGTGGGGGAGGGTGAACTTGCGGCATCTGTTCGGGGTGTACATGTACAGTACGGAGGGGTCGAACTCGGCGCCGTGGAAGGTAGACGGGGCGATGAAAGCGTATGGTCTGAGCAAGTAAGCAGAAGATGGGGTATGAGAGTTCTGTTGAGGTTGTAACCCCTTTGTAGTCAAGTGGGATTCCTGGGGCTCTACATGCCGGCGTTCCGAGAATCGGATGCCTCCGTCTCGATCATCGAGTGGATCAGGCAAGGAGCCATGGCACGTCTAGGTGGACTTGTCTCTTGTCGGCTAGAGGGAGGAGTGACGTCGTGGTTGGTGTAGCGTCAGCGCAGGACGCTGTCTTCTCGTTCCTTGCAACAAGGCATCAAGCACATGTAATGTTTGACCCGAACAGCAGCGGGATGCTCTGCACGCAGATTCATGTTCGGATACTCCTGCCGCAGGTGATTGAAAGGTGGCATGTGCCACGAAGTCGAGGAGAGGAGTAGTAGACGTAGCGCAGGGTCAGTTGTGAAGGGAGAGGTTCACGGGAATCTGGAAAGGATCAGGGGAGGAGCAAGGGAGACGATGGTAGGGGAGGAGGATCTAGGGATCTAGGGAGTCATTCGCAGTTGCTCATGATGCGTGGACGAAGATGCTCGGAGGATTCAAGTCACCTTGGATGCGGCTGATGAAGCTGCCGGTGGATGGCTCAGAGATAAAGGAAGCGAGAGGTTGACTATCCTTTCCTCCTCTTGCTCCTCCGGGTGCTGCTCTGACAGCTTGTGGAGCAGGTGTCAACTCTATGGTGCGGCTCGTGGGACACTGGACGGGACAGGAGGAGGAGTTCAAGTTCACCGCCTTCTTCTGTGGAGTAGAGGACAAGTGAGTTTGTCCGGCTGTTGCATCCTCGGGCCCTTCCTCATTCTGGTCGGCTGCGCAGCATCTGCTTCCACACGAGGACTTGGACCTTCACGTCGGACGCGATCCGACATCAAGGACAGGTAGGAGGGAGGACGTGGGAGGGGGGGGGGGGCGGGGGCGAGGAGGGTAAGGATCGGAGTCTTTACTTTTACGACGTTGGGGAGGAGGAGGGAGGAGGAGGGCTAGGAGGGGCTGAGCTGACGGGGAGAGCAGGTGTTCAAGACCGCCGTCGAGGTGCGTTGCAGGTCGGGGAGTCAGGTGGGGGGGTCTGACGTGCTGGTGGGGATGCAGGAGCCCTACCGCTACTCGTACTTGATGCGGAGGCAGGAGGAGGCAGACGTGACGCTGGTGGGGCTGCTAGGGGAGGATGACGAGGAGTGAATGCCATTCCCCGCTGGAACTGAGCGCCAACCGTGGAACGCGATCTGAACGGCACCCCCTGTGCCCGGGGGGGCGGGGGGGGTTGTCCGGGTCATCCCGCTGCCGGGCCCCTGCCGGGCGCGCCAGTGATCGGATTGTCAGAGTACTCAGGTCGGTCACCGTCACAGGCTCCGGGCTGTGAGATGTACGCCGGGGACTCCCGTCACTCACTGAGAACGGTCACTGAGTGAACTCGGACTGCAGCACCCCGCTCACTGAATCGGGGGGGCGGGGTGGACGAGGGCCGCAATTTTTCGAGTTCAAGGCCCTATAATTGCTGTTCAATACTGCCAGGCCCCAAAACCTCCAACGGTTGCCGACTAGGTGAGGAACGCTCAGTCGTGGTGCCACCGTCGGGGCCGCCCGCCGCCAGCACAGGCTGTGACGGAGCGGCCCGGCCGCGGGAGCCGGCGCACCAGCGGCGGGGCCATCATGAGAGTCACCGGGTACCCGGCGCCGTACGCCGAGAAACTGGCAAGCACACCGTCAAATTTCCGCTACCGTAGCCTACAGACTTAGTCGCCGAGAATTTCTTTGATAAGACTGAATTTTTTCTCACTGCAGTGACCGCTCATGCCGCCGCGAGTCTGGCAGTACTACGGTAACTAAGTTGGCTTGCCGCGCCGCAGTGCAGTGCAGCCCGGCCCCAGCCTGGCAGTGCGCCGGCCGTGAGGCGGCCGCCGCGGGCCCGGCCCGGCCCGCGACGGTCACTGGCCGCGGGCAGTCAGCCTGGCCGCAGGGCCGCCCGCAATGGACCCGGTGACCTGTCTGCTGGTGCATTACGTTCGCTTATAGCTTTAGTTAATTCTCGATCCTGTCCTTCTGGTACTAATCATGGAAACGGCTCTAATTGCGATTACAGGACCCACCCCTGTGCATTTCCCTCTTCAAACTCTACCACGCCTGTATCAGAGCCCCACAGGAAAAGGAACCCCAAAACCAACAAGCGAACGGGCGGGCCACGCCGCGACCGTACCGTACCGGTCACTGACGGACCGGGCACGGCGGCGGCCCCGGGTGACGGCCGCGGCCCGGGCCCGGCACGGCCCGGCCCGCGGCCGCCCGGCCGCCGGGGCCGTGACGGCGGCGACGGTTGAAACTTTTCAGAAACGAGCAAGGCTCGGAAAGGCTGGCGGGCCGAGAACTATTTTTTTTTACTGGCCCGGGCCCGGCGGCCGCACTGGCGAGTTAACTTGGACGCCATTAGTGGGCATCGTTTACAACGGGGATTTGGTCTAGCGGTATGATTCTCGCTTAGGGTGCGAGAGGTCCCGGGTTCGAACCCCGGAATCCCCCTGCCGACAGCAGGGCCCCAAGGGATTCCCAACCTCCCTCCTCACAACCTTTTTTGCCTCACACACACTCTCCCCCACCCTCACTACCTCACCACTACCCCCTTTCCCATTAGACCTTCACATAGCAAAACGAGCACCTCGAGACAGACATCACTGGTGTCAATCATTTGCATCCTGGGATCACCATCAAGCGTGTGTGGTGAAGAGATGAAGAATTTCATAAATGAGGTATTAGTGTCAACTCGCATACATCTTACCCTCTCATCTCATGTACCCCCACCCTCACCACATCTCAGCATGTGTCTTTTTTTTCGAAACCGAAAAAGTTCGCCGGGATGGGGTGGAGGGTGGGGGTGATCAGAGCTGGAGGGTAGGAGGTAGATGAATTTCTGTTAGACACTGACTTGATAGAATATCAAGGCTAGGCTGTCCTGATGCATAACGGGGTGCACCCCTTCAAGAGAGCTGTAAGGTACAGTCTGTCTCGAGGTGCTCGTTTTGCTATGTGAAGGTCTAATGGGAAAGGGGGTAGTGGTGAGGTAGTGAGGGTGGGGGGAGTATGTGTGAGAAAAAAGGTTGTGAGGAGGGAGGTTGGGAATCCCTTGGGGCCCTGCTGTCGGCAGGGGGATTCCGGGGTTCGAACCCGGGACCTCTCGCACCCTAAGCGAGAATCATACCGCTAGACCAAATCCCCGTTGTGGAAAACGGGTCGTCCAAGGATTTTATTGGCAGAATGTAGTGGGGGGGTAGGGGTGGATTGTGACCGGTAGTTTGGATGGAGAAAAGAGGGTATTCCATTAGTGTTTTGGGGGGCTCGGAGGGGTGGGGGTGATTTATGGGGATCACTCAGGGAGGAGATACGACATGCACAGCAGCGCCTCCGCTCCCCCACCTGCTCTAGTGGGAAGCCAACGAGTTGCTCTAGGACGATGTATGAGCAAGAGTTGCTCTAGGACGATGTACGAGCAATATTCGTGAAGTAAGATAAGGGAAATCACGAGGAATTGTCAGGAGCATCCGCTTTTAATATTGGTTTGAAAATAAGTTTCAACGAGATTACATCAATTCTCTTCTATTCCCGCCCTTCTTAGCTTTGCAATACATGATGTGATACTATCAGATGAAACGTCGATCCGGTCCACCTGCCATGCGATCAGTCCTCTCGTCCTCCAAACCAAGCGCTTGCTCCTCACCTAGAAACGCCATGGCTGGAGCAGCATAGAACAGCGTCCAGTCAACATTCTTCAGGCTCTCCCTTGCCTGCAATCATGTGAGATGCAAGCAGCGCGAGCAGCATCAGGAAGAACAGGAGGGAAAGGACACAGGACAGCATCATCTACCTTCTTAGGCGCCACCATAGTCCAGGAGCTTCCTGGCGTTGAGCAGCCGACCAAGAACTTGAGGGGGACATTCTCCGGAAGATCACAGCGGAGGTAGATCTAGAGCTCAGCGTCACACACCCAGATGCACCCCAGCTGGAAAGTCTCACCATCTTTCCGTTCCTCAGGACTGCGAATCGCCCCCTAGCAACGTCCACCAGCAGCCCGACTCTGTCTCCGCTCCTGTCGCGCAGCTCGTCACCAGGCGCACCCCATCCTGCCCAATGTCGAGCAGTACCTGATGCTGTACTTCGGATCGGGAGGGGCCGAGGACATGGCAGCCATGTGGGCTGGAATGCCTTCTTTGGGAGGGCCAAAGTTCCATAGGAGAGCGCCGTTGCCCACGAATACAGCGCACTCTCCCTGTCAGACTGTGAGTGCAAGCGCGAGGAGGGAGCTGGCGGAGGAGCATGCAGCACCTTGGGACATCCACTGAAGTCGAACTCCCTTGTCACGTCCACTTCAAGCAGGTCGGGTGGAACCATGACGCCCACGCTTGCGTACTCGACCTTGCCCGTTGCACGAAGCTGCAACAACAACTTGAGCCAGCAAGCATCCCTCAGAAAGGATAGTCCTTACCTCTAGATAGTTCAAAGTATCCCCTGTTCTGACATTCATCGTTCGTTCACACAAGATCATGCCGCCGATGGTTTCGCGTGGGTCAATCTAGCAGGATCACCATGACTTCCTGCCGTTTGGGAGGTGAAGGACTAACCTTTCGCGACGCCGGATGAGGATGAGACAAAGGACCCGAGGGCTTCAAGGGGATCGCCTGCCGTGAAGTTGTTCAGAAGGTAACCACGCCCCATTCTAATAGAAGGTGACAGTGGTGATGGCAATAGGGCAGCACAAGGAAAAGGAGGGAGGACGAAGAGCAATCATGGACAACGGTGCCGAGGTCGAATGTCAAGTTGGAAACCTCAACTCACCAGCCAAGGTCGCTTCTGCATCGCATCCAACGGATCAGTCCGTCGGGTACTGAACATCCCCGGCATCGGCGCAATCTACATGGCACCACACATCAGCATGGAATCTGCTCACGTCACAATTGGAGCCTTACCGGCGAACGCATCAAGCGGTTCAACCAGGAGCCACTGGCGAGGAAAGATCAGCTTTACCACAAGGATCATGCATCAGGCACCTGTCTGGTAAAAGTCTGACCCTAGTGAAGCTTTTGCCGAAAGGAGGCAGAAACATCGGACTATGGAAAGGAACGAAAGGAAGGGCAAAGGGAATACAAATCGACAGCAAGGGGATGACAAACGTGGAGCCGACAGCCATGTTCTTCCCCTTTGTGTTAATATCAAAATAATCAATGTTCACCTGCAGCATCGAGTACAGTGAGAACCAGCTATCAGAGAGAAGGACAAACCAAGGGAAGAGGTTATGATAAAAGGCTTTGGGGAGGGAAGATCAAGGATTTTGTGGAGGAAGAAGAAAAACTTCATACCAGTGCACGTTTCCATGGCTCTACGAAAGTGATTTTTGGCGATTGGAGCAGAAAATCGGCAGTTTTCTGCGCAAAGGAAGAAAAACATCTCAGCGGATCTCCAAACATCATGATCAAATTCAACCTTTCCCATCTCTGGTTCAGTTGTGATCAGCGGACCTCCAACGGACGAGCCCACCGCCTTTTCAGGCAACACTGCATCAGTCGCATTCACAATTTTCCAGGTTCTGTTTGTCGGCATCGTAGCTGACCCTCCCGTCAGTTTGTCTGCGAAATGCAATGTCTTTGGAACTTCTTTCGCTGAAGCCACTGCCGCAAGCCTCCTCCCCGAGCCACCACGGAGACGCAGCATGCTCGACAGACCCTCATGGTATGTAGTCGCTGCTGCCATGGTTTCTGCACTGATTCCATCTGACAGACACTGAAGTGCTGCAGCGATGCAAAAAACTTTCCACATCCTTTAGGGCGTGGAAACCGAGTTGGCCAGTGCAGCCAATATGGATGTCAATTCAATATCAAAATCTGCACAAACCATCGATCAGTCACAGGGGATTCGCTCAAATCTTTCAAGACGTTCCTTTGTCGTTGCTGTACTGTCTCAATGGCCTCTGGTCTCTACATCGCGACTGCCCTCGTTGCTGCTTTCACACTATACAGCCTCCACCTTCCTAGGTACTTGGCACTCGGGACATCACTGTCCTGTTCGGTCTTCCCTACACACAAATGTACATCTTTCATTTGTCTCATATCTCGTCCATGCTCTTCTTAGTTCGGCCCCCACCAACTTTCCGATCCTCGCATGCTCAACCAGAAGACCCGTCGCGGCAACTGTCTGCGAACACCAAACAGGGGAAATTCGTATATTTGATGAAAAGTCAAGACTCAGCAATCTCACCTATCTCACCATCATCTAATCTAGTCTCCAACCTTCTGTCTCGGAGTAACACCCTGTTCTGCTACCCCCATGGTTCTGTTGCTCAACCCCGTTCTGGATCGTATCCCCTGTCCTCGTGTTCTCACACTCAATGTTTGTCCTCACTTCTTCTTCTCTGTTCCCTCTCTGTCTGCTCCATGTTGTCCTTCTTCGTCTAGGCTTGCTCTGACCTGCATTCCCATGCTCTTTCTACCATGCCTTTCATAACAGGCGGCCCCGCCAGGCCATGCACGGGGAGGGAGGGAACGAGGGTACGGGGTGGTAGGCCCTGAACTCGATGGTAGGGGTGGTATGAGAGTCCTAGAGGGTGGGGGTCAGATTGCGAAATTGAAGGGGTAGTGAAAGAGAGCGACTGGTGGGGGTTGTATTTCACAGGCGATAGGGTAGGGTTATTCTTATGGGGGTGCCATCAACTGATTGGGAAGACTAGCATGGTAGGGTACTACAAATGCTTAGCAAAGACGGGTGGTTTAGTGATGTATTTTGAAGAATCGTCCTGGTGGGTTACCAAATGATGGGGTGAGATTATCGTCAGGGGGGTGGGGGTGACTGTGATGGATGGGAATATTATGTAGCAAGGGGTGGGTGAAGTAGGGGTCAGTGCTCAGCGGATCTTTCTTATAAACAAAGGGGTACTTGATTTAAGGTGGTGTCCAGACAAGAGCTGAGGGTGGGTGAGAATTGGAGATAGAAGGGGTAGTGGAACGGAAATGGGGGTGAGGGTTGTTTGTAAGGGAACCTGCTTCTTTTAGGACAAGCACAGGCTGCAGAATGGGGTGGGGTAGAAATCTCTTATAAAACGTTTTATCATAATAATCTTGTTTTATATCTGTATGGGTATGGTAAGATATTTGGAGTACGAGGTAGAAATTTAACAATGAGTTATTGAGTTTTCTGGTACCATAGATCTTTACTCAAAGTTAAAAGCATACCGACAACAAGTGACTTACGGACTTGACTCAGTGAGCCGGGCTCGGCCGGGCGGCCCGAGTCCGGGCGCCGGCCCGGGCGGGCCCCGGCCTGGAGCCTGACTGAGTCGGCTCTGTGCCGCAGTGCCGCGGCCGCTACATACCGGTACTAGCAATGCCATTTTTTCATTCTGCTTGTATGCCACCACAGTGGGCCCGGCACTGACGGTTCACTGTGACTGGAGGCCCCATATCCGGCGGTGAGTCAGTTCAAGGCAGTGCCGCTGCCCGGGGCCCGGGCCCCCGGGCTGCGGCGGGGGCCGGGCCGCAGCCTATTAGCCGCTCAGCCGCACTGCCGAGTCGGAGCACGGTGCTCAGTTCGGCAGTCCCACCCGGCCGCCGCCGGGTAGTGTCTCTCTGTTCCGATCAGTGATCCGAGCCTCTCCGGGCCATCACAGTGCCCTAAGACCCATTGATTGAATACCGAGAGTCGAGGCTCCGGCCCCCGACCCTTCAAGTTCAAACCGGCGGTACTATGATAAACCCGGTTGAACTTCAAGTCACAAGTCAGTAGTATCGGAGGCCCTTACCGGTCACCGTGCGGCAGTGCCGCCGGCCCGCCCGCCCGGACGGACCGACCGGCCGGCCCGGTCCCGGCGCCGTCCCCGAGTCCGACTCGAGAGTCCGATCGCAGGGCCGCCCGGCGCCCCGGGATCGGACAGTGTGACCGTACTCGGCGACTCCCGGCTCCGGAGCCTGTTTCGTGACAGGTTTCAACTGCACTCGGTTATGAGTCAAAGTGGTTTAGCTAGGTATCGGTACAATACAAGTACATTACTTACAGTACAGAACAGAGTACCTAGATCATTTACTCATCAAGCTCGAATGATACTTTTTATTTTTCTTACTAATTTTAAAAACATTTGTGGGTTAACGTGTAGTATCGGTTTATACAAAAAGTTATAATTATATATATATTTAATGGGAAGCCCTACGACACCCTCCAATCACCGCGGAAAATGACCGGTTGAACTGTGAATTATGAAACGATGGGGTGGGTACTACCATATAGAGAAAAGAGGCATCAGTGGGGTAGGGTGATATATGAAAGTAGTACTTGCGGCAAGGGTATGGGAGAGACTAGTCAGAAAGGGGGGTGGGTGTAGTTCAGAGGGACCGGTAGTGTTGTGAAAAGTGGGGTCTTCAATTGATGGGGTCCTGATGAGTGGGATTGGCATGGGTAGTATAGTGGTCTTAGAGGGGTGATGGAGGAATGAGGAAATTAAAGTCAGGGTAGGGTTGCAATTAGTCAAGGGTGGGGTAGGCAAAGCAGGGGGCCGGTTTCGTGCAGCGCGCGGGGAGGGAGGAAAAAAAACGGAAAAAAACACACAAGAGAAACAGGGATACAGGCACAGAAGAGTAGGGAGAGGAAGGAGATTTGCTGATCCTCAAGGTTGTCAAAGCAGTTTTGCTGCTCTGAATCTGCTCAGGGGAAGGGAAAGTGGAAGGCAAGAAAACAAGCACTACCATGCCCAGATCCACCATGCTTTGGCCGAGCCTTGCATGCGTTGCAGTTGCCCTCACACTGGTTTCTTCTCTCGTCGATGCAGATATCTCAGTGAATGGCAACATGCTGCTCGGAATGAAACAACAGGGGCTCTCTCAATCATCCTGCATGCGTTTGAGGGGAGGGAACGTCGCAATGACTACGGAGCCGGCTTCTGCTGTTGATGCCGATGCAAAGACCAAGAAGCATCCTGGTTTCATCTCTCCTAATCGTTTGCTTGTCCGTGAGGCAACCAGGTGAGCTGATCCCTTCGGGACTTGCCTCCATTGCCTTGCTACCATTGTCCATATATCTCTTGCACTTGGTTTCTGGTGCATTGCCATGAGCTCTAGTAGATCGAGTGTAAGTACGTGAATTGACACGTTTGATTGCAGCAAGGATAACAGTATTATCGGACTCCACCCCGACAGGATCCAGGAGCTCGGATTTTTCAATGGCGACACCATTAAAGTGAAAGGGAGGCGGTCGAGGGAGACAGTCCTCGTGGTCGTCCCCGATGAGTCGATTAAGGTGGAAGAAGCACGCCTCCCCGACGTGGCTTCGAAGTATCTCCGAGTACGATTCCCTGGCAACGTGATGTCATGCCTGATCCTCTTGCCAGATCCCAGCTGGGAGCAAGGATCGCATCAAGGTCCATGAGTTTCCGGAAATCAAGAATGCCAAGAGGGTCCATGTCTTGCCGTACGTGGAGCTCGATGCAGGTGTGAGAACATGACGTTGGTTGCAGATTCAAAGACAGTGTCAATGGGTTCGAAGGAGACCCCTTCGAGGTGAGCTCACGATATCAGGTTGTGCCATGGAAGATTTCCTGACTCGTGGGCAGGTGTTCTTGAAGCCATATTTCTTTGAGAACTATCGCCCTGTTCATGTCGGCGAAGTGTTCCCGGTCTACAATCAGGAGCTCGACATGACTGTTGACTTCAAGGTTGGGACGCTGCTGCAGCACTGACGACCAGAGTTGACCTTGTCATCCAGGTCATGCAGATCGATGACGAAGAAACCGAGTGGGGCATCGTAGCGCCTGAGACAGTCGTCTACACTGAAGTGAGAGACAGCTTGTGCTCCACTGCTTCTGAGATTCGGCTGCTCTGCCCTCTCATACGATGATGTTTCCCTTGCTCTTTCTCCCCCTGCCTCGTGATCCCTTCCTGGGTCCATGCCAGATTCCTCTCCTTTCCTCCCCACAGACGATGACTTGGGCACAGGGCAAGCCATTGGAGCGTGAAGAAGACCCAGCAAGGAGCTCTGAGGTTGGCTACGACGACATCGGAGGACTCTCGAAGCAGATCCACCTGCTGCGGGAAATGATAGAACTACCCCTCAGGCACCCCGCGTTCTTCACGAAGCTGGGAGTGAACCCTCCACGTGGTATCCTCCTCTATGGACCTCCTGGATGCGGAAAGACGATGGTCGGACAGGCTCTGGCGACCGAGTCGGGAGCGTTCTTCTTTCTGATCAACGGGCCCGAGGTCATGTCGGGCAAGGCCGGCGAGTCGGAGTCTCACCTTCGCCGATGCTTCGAGGAGGCAGAGAAGAACCAGCCCTCGATCATCTGGATCGACGAGGTGGACGTCATCGCTCCGAAGAGAGACAAGGCCAACGGAGAAGTTGAGAAGAGGATAGTGTCGCAGCTCCTGTCGCTCATGGATGGAATCACGGCGAACAAGCAGATCATGGTTGTCGCCGCCACTGGCAAGCCCAACAACATCGATGGAGCTCTCAGGAGGTTTGGGAGGTTCTCCAAGGAGATCGAGTTGACATCTCCGGATGACAAGGGCCGTTACGAGATCCTCAAGATCAAGACCAGGAACATGCAGCTTGCCGACGATGTCGACTTGCAGCAGGTGGCTCACGATACGCATGGATACACGGGAGGCGATCTTGGGCAGTTGGCAATGGAGGCAGGTCTTGCTGCTGTGAGGGGCCAGATGGACAAGATCGACATCGATGCTGATGAGATTGAGATGTCAGTGATGAAGTCGATCAAGATCAGGCACATCGACTTCCTTCAAGCCATGCAGAAATGTCATCCTTCCTCCCTGCGCGACAAGGCTGTAGAGATCCCCGATGTCACCTGGAACGACGTTGGAGGGTGAGGAGGAGGAGGAGGAGGAGGAGGAGGAGTGCGACGGGCGAGGGGGGGGTAGGGGGGAGGCGAAGGAAGTGGTGTC